GCCGAGGTCCGGAAGTGGGCGTGGCCCGGTCCGTCGCCCCCAGGAGGTCTCCCGGAGAGTTCCGGGACGCGGTCGCGCCGTAGCCTGTGGACTCCAGGTGGGGCCGTGGAGCGGTGGCCGGAGGCGGCGCGGGGCTCCCCGGCTTGTGTGTCGCCCGCGGCGGGGCGGGGCGGGCGGTTCCGGGTGGCCCTGACCGCCAGTGAGCGCAGCTGCTCCGCTTTCAGCCGCGGGTGCGGGAGAACGGCAGCCCCCGCTGGGAAGGACGGCCCGCGCCCCTCGCCGGCGCCTCCGCGGTGCGCGTGGGCGGACCGTCTCGGGAGCGACCTGGGCGGCCGCCACTTGGCCCTGCGTCTCGGGCTGCCTCAGTGCGTCCCCGCGCTTACCCCGCTGCTGCTCGGACTCCCCCTTCGTGCTGCGCGCCGCGCGTGGCACCCGGCGGGTTGGCGCGGGGATTCTCCCGTCATCGGGCGCGCGGGCGCGCGGGAGGGGAAGACCGCGAGGGGACGCGGCTCCCTTCCTGTCCGTAACTCGGTCTCCTCACTCCAGGACTTCATCGGGGACTTACTTCAAATACGCAGTAAAGATAAGCGTGTGTGAATGGAGACGACAAAAAAAAAAAAAAAAGAACTGGGGCTGGGGAGCAAGCTTAGTAGAATAAGCGCTTGCCTGACGAGTCCAAGGGCCTGTGTTCAATGCCCGGTTCCACCAAAAAAAAAAAAAGCATGTGCAACCAAGAAAATGAATTAATTATGTTCACTTCTAGGAGCAGAAGCTTACTTGCAAGTTTTTTTCTGTGAGACTGAGAAATTAAGTAGCACTTACTGAAACCAAAAAGTAAAAATGGTAAGTTTTATAAAATTACATGAATTTTTGAAATTCATCCTGGGGAAATGAAATTCTATGGGAATTTCAGTGACAAGAGAAATACATTATAGGATATTAAAGCATGCAGTATAGCTGGGCATGACTGCACACACCTTTAATTCCAGCCCTTGCGAGGCTGAGGCAGGAGGATCCTTGCAAATTTGAGGCCAGCCTGTGCTGTATAGGGAGACCCCGTCCGTCAGAAACAACAGCGCCAGCGAGATAGCTCAGCAACATAAGTGTCTGCCTGGCAAGCGCAAGGTCCTGAGTTCAGTCCTCAGTACCTATAAATGAATAATGAAAGAAATAAAAGTAAATTTAACAGAAATAGGATTTTTCCCAAACATTTACATTTCTAGGCTTCTTTTTCTTGCCTTTGAAGTAAGTTTAGGGAAAGAAGGCCCAGCTCTGCCACTCTCGAGGCAGCGTTTTGTCTTGCACTTGATCGTTCTCTTAGTAGTCAGGGAACTGACAGCACCTGTCGTCACCTGGAGAAATTGTGTGTGATCTCTCTCTCTCTCAGTCTGTGACCTTGCACACTGATGTAGGTGATATTAAGATAGAAGTCTTCTGCGAGCGGACGCCAAAGGCATGTGAGGTGAGTGCCATTATTAACGGCGTATTTATCTATTTTCTTGTGTATGTAGTACGGGATGTACAGGGTCTTACTACGTAGATTGGACTCATAGTTTTCCTGTTCAGTCTCCCAAGTGCTGGGATTACAGGTGAGCCCACCATACCCTGCTTAGCACATCGGGGTGGGGTGGGCCCACTTGGCAAGCCTGGGATGGAAAGGTTTGGTGTTTTTGTTGTTGTTGTTGTTGTTTTGCGGAACTGGGGATTGAACTCAGACTCTTGCGCTTGCCAGGGAAGCGCTTATTCTACTGAGCTATCTCCCTGGCCCCTCCTATTCAGGTTTTAAAATTCAGTTAATGTAGCAGGATGACCACTTCATTTTTTGTTTTGAGACAGGATCTTGTTGTACAGTTCATACTGGCCTTGAGCTCACTTTGTAGCCCAGGCTGGTCTTGAACTCCCAATGATCCTCCTGCCTCTGCCTCCTGAGTGCTGGGATTACAGGTGTGCCCCACCCCACCTCACCAGGTTTAGGATGACCACTTTGAAGTGGAATTCTACAATCTAAAGCACTTTCTATAAAACCTTGGTCAGGAAGAGTTGGCCACTATAGTTACAAGCTTAATTTCCACTTTTCTTTAGTTTCTTATTAGCAGAAGTGGGTCAAAGAGAAGGCAGGCAATCTGTCTGTACCTGGGGCATCCAGATCTTCTCCCTGTGGCTCGTTTTCCTCAGGTCCTCGTTAGGGTGCAGAAAGGAGAGCCATGCATTGACTGTTCGACAGGCTGCACGGGGGAAGAGTCAGGCCTCTGTGACCACTCAGCTGCTGTGATCAGCCGTCCTGCATGGTCTCCAGCAGAGTGAGCCAGAGACATTCCTGCCTTCCTAGCGCTCACGTTCTATCTGGGACACAAGACCATTGAGCAGAGTGGTAAAGGCCTCAAATACAGGGTTCAGAGAGAAATGAGCAGGGCTACATAGAAAAAGATGAAGACAGCGTTATCCAAGAGGGTGCACACTTACGGTCCCACTGCTGTGGGAGGCTGAGGCAGGAGGACTGTGAGTTTGAGTCGGGCCCAGGCAAGTCAGTGGGACTGTGTCTCAAGATGAAATTTAGGGGCCAGGGAGATGGCTCAGTAGAACTTGCAACGACCTGAGTTCAATCCCTGGTTCCGCCAAAAAAAAAAAAAAAAAGATGAAATTTAAAAATAAGGCTTGGCATGAATCTTGATGTGAAGGCTCTAGGTTCAGTCCCCAGTAGTACAAAAAATGGGGAGGAGCTGGGCATTGTGGCTCACTTGTAATCCCAGCACTCATGAGGCTGAGGCAAACCAAAAATTAATCTGTTCAAAGACACCAAAAGAAGGTTTCAGAAGTTCAGTAACAGAGGGTTGGCTTCTAGAACAAGGCCCTGGGCTCTGGGTAGAGAAGCAGCAGGCACAGGGCCCCTTGGGAGTTGTCAGAGGCTTGCTTGCAGGGCATAGAGGGTGCAGCAGGGCCTGCTGAAGCCCTGCCAAAGGTCGCACATCTGGTTCCAGAGCAAAAGGAACCTATTACAGTGTCTTCAGCTGGGAAGTGACAGCATCCACAGCTAATAGGAGGTTTGTTGCAAGTTCTGGGCCAGCCTGAGCTACAAAGTGAGCTCAGCCAGCCTCAGCTGCTTCTCAAAAAGACAAAAAGATTCTGTTCAAAGCCTGAAAGCCAGGGTTTTGAACATGCTCTTTAGTGTTTCCAATAAGGGTGACTGGACTGGACCAGACCTTTTTCTGTTAAGACAAGGTCTTGGGCCTGGGGAGATAGCTCAGCCTCATAAGTGCCTGCCTAGCAAGCACAAGATTTTGAGTTCAATCCCCGGTACCACAAAAAAAAGAAACAAGGTCTTGCTTGCTAAGGTGGCCTTGAGTTCATTTGTAGCTCGTGCTGGTCTTGAACTGTTATGGGTCAACTCTGCATAGGAACCAGGTCAGCCAGATAGAAATTTGAATAGAGCCTTTTATTTACTGAGCTCAGGTCCATCAGCCACTTGTCTCGCAGGAGAAGGCTGGGTGACCCCGAATGTAGGTAGCAAGGGGGTATTTATAACAGAAACCACATCCAGCTTGGTAAGCACACTTGTTATCTAGGACAGAAGAACAGAAACTGCATTCATTTGACACAGCTGCAAACTGTTCATAACTAAACGGTCTTTCACAGCTTAGTGATAAGTGCATATTTTTACAAGATATATCTTAAGCTATGTTACAGAAGATGTTTGGGGAGGGAGTTTGTGTTAGCTTGCTGCCTTGACAAGAAACAGTTATTTATTGTTGAACAGCCTTGAGCCGAAAGGGAGAACACTTTTCTTAGAGCAGATAACAGGAAGCACAAGCAGTTTTTATAATTTTTTACAATTAAGGCACAAGACTCTGTTAACCCTTTACAGAACTTGTAATGATCCTTCTTCCTCAGGCTCCCGAGTGCTGGGATTACATTGTTTTGGTTTTTGACACAGGATTTCACATTGCAGGCCAGACTGGCCTTGAGCTCATAAGGATACAGGTTGGCTTCAAACTTTGTTTTGGTACCAGAGATCGCACTTGAGAACTTGCGCTTGGCAGGCAGGTGATCGTGCCTCTGAGCCGTCTGCCTGGCCTCAAACGTTGAACCCCTGCAACTGGGACTGGGGCACTGGGTGGCTGGCTCTGGCCGTCCGGCGTTTGCTGCACTCCTGTCACCCTTTCACCTCTTGCAGAACTTCTTGGCTCTCTGTGCGAGCAGTTACTACAGCGGCTGCGTGTTCCACAGGAACATCAAGGGCTTCATGGTGCAGACGGGAGACCCGACAGGTACACCTTCCAGTCGCTTGGGCCAGGGCTGGGCTGTGTCATGGGAGAAGATGGGGAGAGCAACCGAGCTGCAGTGCCCAAGCAGGAAAGTCTGCGTCAGAGACTTGCCTGCTATCCCCGGATCCGAGCAGGATCAGCCCTCGGGGTGGCGGTTTTGCTTGTTTTATCTGGAAGGACATTTCAGTTTCTGACTTATAAAATTAAATACGGGCAAATACTAGATGTCATCAAATGTTATTTGAAGAGGTACTCTGTAAAGTGTCCTAAAGTTTTAAAAATTGAGCACTAAAGCGCGAATAGTAGCACAGCTCTGTAACCCAGCACTGAGGAAGCGGAGCAGGAAGATTCCTGAGAGTTTAAGAGCAGTCAGTGTATGCTACAGAGGAAGACCATGTCTCAAAAAAGAAGTAAAGCTGAACCCTTTCAACCCTGAGCCCCACTTTGATTTGCTGTTGTGCACACAGGCACCGGAAGAGGCGGCAGCAGCATCTGGGGCAGGAAGTTTGAGGATGAGTACAGCGAGCACCTTAAGGTACACCCTCCACGTGGGCTGCTCCTGGAAGCAGGTGCACGTGCTCCGGGCCAAGGCTGACATCATTCCTTGGTGTGGTGTGCTGTGGTACCCACATGCTGGTAAATGCAGTCTGGGAGATCCCAGGGGGTGTCCTGGCCTGGTACAGGGCTCAAGTTGCGGCCTGTAGTGGTTACATTGGAGTCCTGCCTGAAGTGTTAGTGCTGTCTTAGGATTCGTGGCCTCCTTCCAGAGGATAGGGGAGGGGAGCAGAGACCACCTCATGATCAGGCTGTTGCCATCACCAGTCCTCTTTTGACCAGACATGGGGCGCGTGCCTGTCATCCTAGTACTCTGTGAGGCCGAGTTGGAAAGGTAGCGCGTCCAGCTCCCGCCTGGGACGCTTAGTGGCTTAGACCCTGCCCACAATAAAGATGGACCAGGGATGTGGCTCAGTGGGAGAGCACTGCTGGGGTGAGTCCTCAACACTGAGAGGTAGACCTGTAGATACAGGTGTACAGATGTATAAGGAGCTGTCTGTCTGTATACCTGTGTACGTATGTGTTCTTTTACATGTGTAATCTCAGGGCCAGGGATATAGCTCAGTGAAGGTGCTGAGCAGATTTCTGGTCCCACCCCCACCCCACCCCCCCAAAAAAATACATCTGTAACCACAAAATTTCTTTTTTTCTTTTTTTTTTCTTCAAAATTTCTGAAATTGATTACATATCAGGGTGACAGTAGGAGTCAGATACTTTCTTTTACTGTACTATTGTAAGAGTATGTGTTAGTTTTATTATATTAGTTGGATTTGGGAGGAGGTAAAACTTTTTCAGAGCTTAATTAATGGCTGCTTCAGTGTAGCAATTAAAACCAGGAATCGGGGCTGGCAAGACAGCTCAGCAGACTAAGCGCCTGCTCGGGCAAGGGCAGGGACCAGCACCACATGCTGCGGTAGCCCCACCCCAGGCACACTGAACCAGCAACTGAGGCCAGGCATGGCAGGTGCCCCTGCAGTCTCAGTGCTGAGGAGGCTGAAAGTAGGATCACCAGGCAGCCAAGCTTGTAGTGAAACCCTGTATCAAATACATTAAAAAAGACAAAACAGTAATCAGCTGTGTCAAAAATTAACTACGGGAATTCTATAACACAGGCCTTTAATTCCAGCATTCAGGAAGCAGAGGCAGGAGGTTTGCCATGAGTTCAAGGCCAGCCTGGATTACATAGTAAGACCCTGTCTCAAAAATAAGGAAACGATCAGGGCCTTATCTCACCCCAGACAGAAGGAGCCTGCCAGCCAGTTGGCCACAGAAACCCCAGCTGTGTTCTGAGGTCACCTGCGTCCTCACAGCAGGGTGAGGGAGGCCCGTCTTCCCCTGTGGAGTGTAGGCTGGGTTCTCCCGCTCGTTTCGCTCATTTGCGTGCTGCCACTGAGCAGTGTCTGTCCAAGAAGGACTGGTCCTGTGCTCAGCCCGTGGCCCAGGGCTCCGGTGTGTCGTTTGCGTCCGTGGAGGTTTAGGAACAGCGTGTGGGCAGTGATGGCAAGGAGATACGCTGTAGTGCACTCGGTAGTGCACAGGCGGTGACCCACGCCTGTGTATGCACTCACGAGTTGGAGCCCTACCCGCCTGTGGTGTCGGAGAAGCACCGCAGTGCCAGCGCGAGTGGCGCGTACCTGGTGTGTGAATGGTGTGAACAGCGAGGGGGTCACCTCGGAGGCTGAGGCGGTGGAACAGCCAGTGGTAACTCCTAAAGTTCAGAAATCAGGAGGTGGTACTTGTTTTCTTTTTTTTCTTTCTTTTTTCTTTTTTGCAGAACCGGGGATTAAACTCATGCCCTTGCGCTTGCCAGGGAAGCGCTTACTCCACTGAGCCATCTCCCCGGCCCCTAGTACTTGTTTTCTTAACTTGCAGATGGTACTTTTATTCCTGTTTGTGCCTCAAATGTTAGGCATGATTGCTAGCCACTTTTCAGAAAGAGCCTTAGTTTTTGTTTTTGTTTTTTTTTTGGGGGGGGGGCTTTTATTTGTTTGTTTTAAGAAGGATTTTTTTTTTTTTTTTGGCTGGCTCAGGCTGCCTTAAGGGTGGGTCTGGAGATGGAACCGCAGGGGCCTGACTGGGTTTACCCCAGCAGGTGCTTATACAATTGAGCTAACCCACAAGCCCCCCTTGTTTGTCTGTTTTGGTCTTTTTGAGACAAGGTCTCACTTTGCAGTGCAGCAGACCTTAAACCCACTAGATAGCCCAGGCTGGCCTAAAACGCACATCGATCCTCAGCCTCTCTAGTGCTGGGGCCCACCAGCAAGCTTGTATTTGGATGACAGCTGTGGTCTGGGCCTCGTAACAGCTTCCATGTGGGGCTCCCCTTAGCACAGCTTGCCTCGCCTTCACTTCCGACTGGAAGGTCCTTCAGTGCTGTGGCAGCCCCTGGCAAGCACACCCTGTCGCCATCCTGGAGTGGAGAGACCATCCCCAGGTCGTTCTCCCTTAGGAGCTGCGGCTAGAGGGGCCCGAGGTGCGCTGTCCGTGCCCTTGGGGCGTGAGGCAGCGGGTGAGTGAGCAAGCGAGATTGAGTGCCACCCCCACCTGCCTTGTCTGCCCGCTGCCTGGTTGTTAGTTTGTCCACTGCCCCTGTACACAGGATTCTGAGCATGGCAAGGAAGAGCTGGCAAGAGTCTGGCATGTGGAGGAACATGGGGCCAGGCGTCAGACCGGGGCACTGTGGTCCGCGTCAGAGCTGTTTCTGTTGCCCTGCGGCTCTGCCGCAGCTTCCCCGAGTGACAGTGCCATGAAATGGAGAATGTGGTTTGACACATACACAAGCCACCTGCACCTTCCCCGGGCTTCAGGTAACACAAACTGCATGGAGTGGCCCAGGCAGATGCCAGCGCAGTGCATCCCAGGCCCTTCAGGAGCGGACGTGAAGAGCACGTGTCTGCTTGGGAGCTGTGGTGATAAGCTGAAACCCAGGCTGTGGTCTGTCTCTGCAGCACAGTGTCAGAGGCGTCGTCTCCATGGCCAACAATGGCCCAAACACCAACGGCTCTCAGTTCTTCATCACCTATGGCAAACAGCCCCACTTGGATATGAAGTACACCGTGTTTGGAAAGTGAGTTCTACACACAGTTCTGCTGCGAGCTAGTGTGCGTGCGAGCTAGCGTGTGTACAAGGTTCTAACAGGTACACAACCAACAAGGGAGAGCACTGAAAGAAAACTCGAACTTGGTCTGGTTTTGGTCGTGTGTGTGTGTGTGTGTGTGTGTGTGAGAGAGAGAGAGAGAGAGAGAGGGAGGGAGGGAGGGAGAGAGCGAGGAGGGAGGCAGGCAGGCAACAGGTGGGAAGGCGGGCAGACATTGGCGCATTGAGCCCAGGACCTTTGCATGGAGCTCTGTCCCCAGCCTTTCCCACAAACATATAAGCTGCCCAAACTTGACTCAAACTTTAGATCTTGTTGCCTCAGTCTTCCAGATGCTGGGACCAGAGGGATGGGCCACCACACCCTGAGATCCTTTAATCTCAGAATGTAATTGTTACAGGTGTTTAGATCTCAAATATTTTTTCGCTTAGTTTTTTTTTTCTTTGAGGCAGAGGTTCACTGTAGTCCATGCTACCCTTGAACTCCACAATGATCTTCCTGCCTCAGCCTCCTGAGTACTGACTGGGGTTACAGTTGCACACCACCACACCTGACAGATGCTGTGTTTAATCTGAGGATTTTTTTTTGGGGGGGGGACTGGGGATTGAACTCAGGCCCTTGTGCTTGCCAGGGAAGCGCTTATTCCACTGAGCCATCTCCCTGGCCCTGAGGAAATTTTCATACATGGTGGTGCTTCTCCTCCAGGGTAATAGATGGTTTAGAGACGCTAGATGAACTGGAGAAGCTCCCAGTAAATGAGAAGACGTATCGGCCTCTCAATGATGTGCACATTAAGGACATAACTATTCACGCCAACCCATTTGCTCAGTAGACAAGTCACTGGGCGGAGGCTCTGCAGAGCAGCTTCGTCAAGCGCAGTCGGGGCAGCGCTGAGGAGCCTAGCAGCCTTTACCCTTGAGTTGTACAGCATGTCCTCTACTAAAATCCAGTGGACCCTTTCTTGTGAGGGGGTAGAGACAAGGTCTCACTGCAGTCCAGGCTGGCCTCAAACTCGTGATGATCCTCTTGCCTCAGCCTCCCAAGTGCCGGGATTGCAGGCGGGTGCCACCTTGTCCCTGTTTCTTTAACTTTAATATTAAAGATACTTAAAAAACGTTTATTCCATGTAAGTGTGTGTTCTTAAGTGTGGAGCCTCAAGGCAAGCAGTTTTGAGCACACTGGCTGCACACTGCTGCCATGCCGATCATACTTAGGGGCCTTACTGTGCACTCCTGGCTTTTTACTGTGAGAAAGGGAGCCAGCAGCACAATGTTCTAGAAGGGTCTCTGGGCCTGCAGTGGAGCCGAGGCCCAGGACACGGTGGCAGTGTTTGCTGGCTGACCTGCTCCAGAATGCTGCAGGGTGGTGCACAGGCTGAGCACAGGCCCTGTGGGTCCTGGTCCTGCTGGCCTCGTGCACTGCCCCTCACCACGTGCCTGAGGCGTTGTAACTCAACGCTGTGTTCTCACCTGTGAGTAGCGTCTCTTCAGGAGCCCACTGAGGGTTGCATGAAGCATGAGGGGTGCATTTCTGCCACATTCGCCCTCATCTGACCGAGCTGTTGAGCGGGCGCTCTTGCAGGCTTGCTAAGAACCTGTTCCTTTGCGGCACAGACCACCTGTGCTAGGTCGTGCTGTTCCCACAGCCATTGCCACGTATTGACCTGGGTTTGTCCTTTCTCCCAGTGGCTGGCCTGAGGACTTGGGACTCCCCATGTAGTACTCTTTATTCTAGTACTGGGAGCTGGAACCCAGGACTCTCCTGTGCATTAGGCAAGAGCTCTACCACTGAGCTTCATCCTCAGCCCTCGGTGACCCACACCCGTAATCAAAGCCCTTGAGAGGCTTAGGCAGGAGGGTCGCTTTGAGTTCAAGACTAGCCTTGGGCTGGGAAGGTAGCTCAGTAGAATAAGTGCCTGCCTGGCAAGCACAGGGTCCTGAGTTTAATTCCTGGTACCGCAGGACAAAACAAAACAAAGTTAAAAAAGACTAGCCTCAACTACAACCCTGTTGGAAGACAAAACTGTCTTGTTTGGGCTGGTTTCAAACTTGAGATCTTGCCTCACCCTTCTGAGCAGCTAGGATTACTGGTGTCATTTAATTAGAGTATTCCCAATTATATCTCACACTAAACTGAAGTACCTGTTACACCAGTGTGACACATTTTATCTTTTTAGTCATTTTGCATTCTAGAAGTAGCTGTATGGTGCAGTGTATCGTTGGGCCAATTTGTCTTTACCACCCTTGTCTCCTACCTCTCCTCCCTGAATGTGTCAATAGCCTTTTGTTTGGCTTTGGGTCTTGGGGTCACTCTTAAGAGGTTGATAGCATTAAGACATTTTTTGTGCTCACTGGGATACACTCTACTCTGAACTTTGCCCTTTTTCCCCCCTCACTACTGAGGAGAGAATTTGAGACCTTGCGCTTGCCAGGTAGGTGTTTATGTTGCTGAACTCTATCTCTGGCCCAACTCTACCAGTTGTTTAAAACTGGTGCCAGGGCTGGTGAGATGGCGCAGTGGTCTCAAGCACCTACTTGGAACAAGCTTGGCAAAGCACAAGGACTGCGGTTCGACCCCCCAGCACCACATGCCAGCCAGCCCCGCCCCCTGGTGGGCTGAGCTGTCCACACACACACACACACACAATAAATAAATAAATAAAATAAAATAAAACTGGTGCCATAGGGTGATTTTTTTGTTTCTTTGTTGGTTTCTTAAGTTTGTTCTTCTAGTGTCTGCTTAGCTGTAGCCATCAAAGTGTCTGTGCAGGGAAGTACCCTGGCTGCTGGGCCGGACAGGCACACTGAGGGCCAAAGTGCCCTTCCAGGCCCACCTGTCCTGGGGCTGTGGGGAGCCAGTGTTGTCCTCTCCACCATCTGGCAGGAAATGGAATGACTAGGAAAAGCAGAATGGGGGTGTTCTGCCTGTCTTTCTCCCTTTAAAAAGAAAGTCATCTAGTTCCTTACGTAGGCTGAAAGTTGGCATGGGGAGTCTAGCAGCCAACCTGGCCACCTGTTTTGTAACATTTGGGGGCCTGGCACTACCTAGACAGTGGACATGTCTCTCTTCTCTGGTTGCTTTGCCCAACAATAGCATTCAAGACATGGGGCCTGTCCCCGCCTTGGGTACACAGTCAGAAGCTGTCAGATCCTGGCTGGTGTGTGCCCCGTGCTTGGCCCAGCTGCCACATAAGCATGATCTCGCAGCCAGATCCACTCACAACCTGCGTCATTTGGGGCCCAGCATTAGCTGTTTCTGCCTCAACAGCCATAGCCAGTACAAATCATACTGAGCTTCTAAGCCACAGTTTAAGGAACTGATGGACATAAAAGCAGATTCAGTTGTAAGAAGTGAACCTTTTCTTTTGGTACCAGGAACTGAATTCAGAGCCCCCAGGAAGAGTGGAGTTAGTGGGCTACGTGAAGCCAGTTTCTTTGAGGCAATACTCAATGGCCATAAAAGCCACAAAGGGGACTGGGGAGATAGCTCAGCTGTCTAAGCGCCTGCCTGGTGAGAGCAAAGACCTGAGTTCAATCCTGGTGCCACATGCCTGCTGACCCTGGAACCCCAGGCACAGCACACTGGCCTGAAACCAGGCATGATGGTGCACACCTGCAATCCCAGTGCTGGGGAGGCTGAGACAGGAGGGTCCTACGACTCTGAGCTGCATAGAGAGATCCTGTAATCCAATAAATAAAAGGAAAAAAATGATTTTTTTTTAAAAAAAAAGCTAAAAAGCAATTAAACCACAGTCAAAGGTTTGTTGTTGCTAATATGGTGTATTAAATACCTGCCAAATGTATAGCATTCTACAGTATAAAATTGATATTTGCTTTTATATTTGAACATGCTTTTCTCTTGTTCACTTTAGATATTTGTGATTAAAAAGTTCATGTCAAGCCAACATGAAATGAACATTAGGTCATCAGTCAAGTGTTAATTTTTTTTTTTTTGAACCGGGTTTTCAACTCAGGCCTTTGCACTTGCCAGGGAAGCACTTATTCCACTGAGCCATCTCCCTGACCCTCAAGTGATAATTTTTATTTGTATTTAGTACAGGATGTACAGGGTCTCCAGGATCCCACTATGTAGGTTGGACTCATAGTGATCCTCCTGTTTTCAGCCTCCCAAGTGCTGGGATTATGTAGGGAGCTGCGTGTGACCGCGCCCTAAGATGGCGCCGGTTTCCGCCTTCCACCCCCTCAAGGGGTGAGCGCTCCTGGAGTAAA